AAAACTATTCTGCTCCCGCTCGGGCATAAGTCCTTATTCCGGAACACTGTTCCGGAAAAGGGCCAGTGTAGACAGCCCAGTAGTCTTTTCCGGAAAAAAGCCCTGATCGCGAAAATGACGATCGGAGCTCTTTTCCGGAAAAGCGCGTCTACATTGGCCACAGACGCTTTTCCGGAAAAAGGGCTTTTCCGGAAAAGCAGCCTGCCAATGTAGACGCTCCTTTTCTGGAAAAACTGAAAACGGAATAGTATTCCATTTTAAGCATTTCCGGAAATTCATGCCAGTGTAGACACAGCCATGGTGGGAATTCATTATCAGTTCCCAGCATGACTGATGTATGGCATTTCTTCTAGGTCCCCAGACCCAGTCAAAAGACATCATTTCTTTCTGAATACAGTGATCTGATTGTACAACCATCTCTCATTGCTTTTGCCTTTTTACATATATGTTTGGAGAAAAAAACTGTCTATCTGCCAAGAGATCCTAAAACAAAGTCTATTTCCTGTAATATGTGCTAAGCAGAAATTCCACCCCCACCCTCCCTTTTTAAACCTATTGCTCAATAAAAGAATCTTGTATCATCCCCCTTGTCCAACTGAAAAAAAAAAGATTCATCTCTGGAAAACTATTTTAATTTGGTTTCTACTAGCCTGAGGAATTTAAAAACAAAGTCCTTGGAACTATGATCAGTGAAAAAAATGTTAAGTCGTAATTGACTCTGCTTGTGGCATGTGTGAATGTTAGGTTTTGCTGTCTATGACTTTTTCCCAGGACATTTTTGAAGAGCAGATGACGCATCTCCAGATGTTTTCCAGGAAATTTATTTTTAAATGAATGAAGGAAAAACATAGCTAACTGGTTCCAATTACTGTTTATCTATGGGTTATTGGGTTCCCCATTGGCAGGACAACTTTTTAGTTTTCTTTTTCCTCTCATCATACTTGGAACAATTCTGAGCCCCAGTATTTGAGTGTAGATAAACAGACCTGAGAGACAAGAATTTACTGAGTTTGTTTTTATTTAACAATATTTTTCCTATTACTCCTTCATACATGCACTCTTTTCTTCCTCTGTGGGCTATCCCAGGTCTGGTCAGAACCACACTGCTGTGATATCACAGAAATTCTTTTAGAATTTTTTTTCCAAACTATTAATTAAATCAAAGCAGTAATTAAAAGACTCTTTTGTCAGCACAATGGCAAAGCTCCCTCTTACTTCAGTGGTGCTGAATAAAGCCCTAAATGTTTAGACATTGAGTGGGTAAAATGTTCATAGTGCCTAAGACATTTAGGAGTGTAAGTCTCATTGACTTTCAAGGAGACTTAAGTTTTTGAAAAAGTAACTCATACCACGGTATTCCCTGTAGTGTAGACATGGCCCAGCTACAACTCTGTACCTATGTCACTATAACCCTGTAGTGTAGATAGGGGCTATAGAAGGTTTTTTTTATTGCTGAGTGCCAGTAGCTAGGCAACTGCATCTACACCAAGAGTTACGTCAGTGTACCTGTAGATTCAGTGCCCAGGGGTATGTAGTGGCATAAGAATGGTTGGGTAAGGATGGTTTTTAATTTAGAACATACTGTCAGCAATATTTTATCTGTGTAGTTTTAGAGTTTGAATTCTTTTTAAAAATGTGCCTTTCAGGGCCAGTTTTTGAAAGGTCACTCTCCCACAGCATCTGCAAATGTTGAATGTATGACTGAGTGCAGAGCAAATTCAAAATAACTGAGCACAGTTTTAAGTGACCTATTAAAAATTTGGGCTCCACTGAAATCAACGGGAACTGTATCTTTGACTTAAATGGGGCCAGGATTGCATTCACATCCTTTAAAGGAGATTATACTAAAGATTCCCTTTACCAAAAGAACATCAGTTCCAATTCAGCCCAAGGTTTGGTGTTACACCATGACAGCAGATGCATTATGAAGGTTGACTGCTTTTTCTCTGAAGCAATGAGCACAGGCTACTGACATAAACTGGACAGTAGAATATGTCCATTGTCCATTTTGGTAGGGCAGTTCCTATTTTGAAAAAGGTAACTCAAAATAATATTTATTTCACCATGTCCTTAAATGTCAAATATTGAGACATTGGAATCATATACCACAGCAGAACCTTGCTAATCTACACATAAAATAGTGGTCTCTTTGAGGATGTCAATGGGATTTAAGTGGTCAATGGGCCTTATTCTGGTCAACTGCAAAAGGGTGAACTTTACCCAAAAGTCTTAGGTTGTTGTCAGTGTATGATATTTATGTGTTCATCGTTTAGCAATGAATTACTATTATATCTGCAAAAGCAATTTTCAATTGGACTGACATTTCTGTAATTACAATTCTAATTTTTCAATTATACTGATTTAATTGTCACCGACAGTACTATAATTAATTTAAAGTTGATGGGCACGTTGATAAGGACATGTATGAAGGATCAAGAGATCCATCTTGGTACTAAAAGCAACACCACACAGTAGTGTGGCAATAGAATGCATTTAGCATTGTAAGACTTGAAATTTAATAAGAAGTGACAAAATGAGCATTCTGTGTTGAGTTAATTCATTTAAACTTCCTGCATACTACTTAATGAACAGCTTTATTTTATTTATTGTAACTTCTCATTTAGTTTCTGTTTTGATTTATTAAACATTCATGTTTAAGAAATCTTAAATATGTATTTTAGCGTAAACAACTCAGCATTCAATGAATTCATAAGAAACATGGGTAGCTGATCGGTTAACATTATTTAATCATGTTGCATTTACCCTAAGGTTCTCAGATTTATTGATTTGCAAATCAATTCACAAAGTTCTCCCTGTCATTAGAGAATATTAGCAAGATTCTACTCTGTTAATTTTTATTAGTTTCAGTAAAAAAAAAAAAAAAAAAAAAAAAAAAAAAGCATACGTCCCCATCACAGACTTGCTTACCTCTGTATATAAGAGTTGTTCACTCCTCTGTGATCCAAATCATGGCTCAGGGCTGCTATCAGCAAAGCAAGTATTTCTAAGTCAGTCAGCTTGTTCTGAATGTAATGAGAAATACAAATGTCATTTCTTAGCTTTGTAGTACAGATTTGATACTAAATGCATTATATCTCTTTTCTTGTCTTCTAGGACTCTGAAATGTTTATGTGATTTTAGTCATAATAGGACAATTAGTTTTCTCAACAGTGTTAGACTTTAAAGGAATAGGTTGGTATATTAAAAATAATGAGTTAGATCCCCCCCAAGTTCTTATATATTTTCTTTTACTTTTCAATCTTAAAGTACTTTAAAAGGAGATCACTATTCTCCCCACCTTTTTAATCAATGGGGAAACGGAGGTATGGGGAGGGGAAGGGATTTCCCCAAGGTCATCCAGCAAACCAGTGACAGGGCTGGAAACTGAACCCTTCTCTCCTGAGTGCCTTATCCATTAGGGTGTGTCTACACTGCAGGGCTTAACTCGAAATAAGGTATGCAAATTGAGCTACATCAATTGTATAGCTTATTTGGAAATAGGGAGCATCTACACAGCACTTATTTTGAAATAGAGCACTCTTCCTCTGACTTCCCTTATTCCTCGTACAATGAGGGTTATAGGAGTCTGAGTAAGAAGTCCTCCAGCTTGACAGTATTTTGACTCTATTTCAAAATAACTGCCTGCTGTATAGATGTGGACTAACTTATTTTGAAATAGTGTTGCTGTGCAGACATACCCTTAGAGCACACTGCCTCAATGGAGCTATACCACTTTGTATTAGCTGAGAAACAGTCTCATTTTCAGTCAAAACCTTATTGTATAATTATCTTTGGAGTTTGAGCTAATCAGGCAATAGGGTCAGTACAAATGATCCATTAATTGGTGGGCCAATAAAGGGACAGTAGTTTAAGAATCACAGAAAACAAAGTCAAACACAGCCTGGCTAATTTTTAATATAAATGTTTCCAGAACCCCAAAGAGAACCATCTTGCCAAGAAATGAGGGAAGATGAGAGGTCATCATGGCTACTTCTCCCTGACTATTTCATAACTCCAACATAGTTTAATACCATTTGATAGAAAGTTTATTTACATCTGGCCATGGAAAAACTGAAGCTGGGAAAATCTACAAAAACACACAATATCGTCTGGCTGTGAGAAGAATACTGAATCACAATAAGGGGAGGAACAGAAAATGTGAGAAAGGTTCCTAAAACATTTGGCTCCCCAACCTATTAGGATAATCAGATATCTCTCATCTGTGGGAGCTAAGCACAAAATGAAAGTGATATGTTCAAATTTTGCTATGAAATGAGGGATCCTGTCTCTCAAGAGCTTTGCTTCTATTCGTTATTTGTGCTCCCTTTGGCTTTAGATAGAAACATTTATCCCAACAGAAGTTGCTGTAAGATGAAATAAACTGATTAGCAACAAGGCTTCCTGACTTTTAAAAAGGCCACATTTGATATTTGTGAAGAAAAATTGTAGTAAGTTGTTTCTTTTCTCCTGCACCTTCCAGACCAGTGTACAATATAAACATGAAACTCAGAAATTCCCAATTAATTTAAAATTAAAGGGCATGATCCTGTAGATGTCTGATTTGTACCATTCCCATTACAAGCACCTACCTGAATAGGCCTAAAGAAGTGATAACTGTAGGATTTATAAACTGCATATGCTGCAGCAATAATTTAGCAACTCAAACTTCTATGTCAGAAGGTAGAGGAAATAACTTGGGGGGGAGCCATTTTAGACTTGATCCAGGTTAACAGGGAGGAATTGGTTGTGAATGTGAAAGCTAGAGGCAATCTGAGTACAAGTGATTGTGATTCTAAGCAAACAAAAAAGTGAGAGGGCCATAATATGTGCAATACACTTCAAAAAACAGACTTTAACAAGAGTCAGAGAACTGGAAGTAAAATTTTCTTCCCATGAGACCTAAGGGAAAAAGAAACTGCCTGTTTCTCAAAGAGACAAATTAAAGCTACAACAGCAAACAGCCTAGTACAAAGGAAAGAGATGAAGACTGGTGTGATGTGAGGCAATTACGAAAAAGGCTAATATCACTCTAGAGTATATTAACATAAGTATCATATATAAGACCCTGGAGGTAACTGGCCCATTCTACTCGGCACTGCTGAGGGCTCATCTATTCTAGAGCATGTTACTCAGTTCTGGGTGCCACATGTTAATATGGAGTCTGCCTCAGTCTTTTTTGCTCTGCCAACCCGGAGCGGTAGGCAGTAAGTGTTGCCAAGAGGGAGCCCACATTTCATTCCCCCCAGCCCTTTTCCAGAGCTAGCTCCCCCCCACCCCGCATCCTGTCCGAGCCCTAACTCTTTCTGTCAGCAGCCCATACATCCTGCATCCCAAGCACCTGCCCCAGGCCCTGACCCCCTCTCAGAGCCAGTATCCCATACCCCTTTTGCACTGCAAGATCCAGCCCTGACCCTCCTCCCAGAGACAGAGCCCCTCCTGCACCTCAACCCCCATGTTCCACCCCTGAATCCTGTCCCAGAGCCAGCACACATACTCCCTCCTGGACCCCAAGCACCTACCCCAGCCCAGTAAAAGTGAGCAAGCATGGGGAAAAGTGAACAATGGGGGGTGGGATGGAGTGAGTGGGGTGGGACTTTGGGGAAGGGGTGAAGCCTTGGGAAGGGTGGGGGCAAGTTAAATCTTGGGTTGTCCTTAAATTCTAAAAGTGATCTTGGACAGATAAAGGTTGGGGACCACTGATGTGGATTTATTAGAGAGAGTCCAGGAAACAGCAACAAATATGATAAAGGGTTTAAAAATCCTGACCTATTAGGAAAGGTTAAAAAACCAGTAGACATGTTTATTCTTGAGAAAAGAAGACCGAGGGGAGACCTGATAAGTCTTCAAATATGCTAAGGCCTGTTTAAAGAGGATGGTGATCAGTTGTCGACTGAAGGGGAGATTTGGGGGAGATGTTAGGAAAAGCTTTCTAACTATAACTGTAGTTAAGTTTTGGTATAGTCTTCCAAGGGAGTTTGTGGAATCCCTGCCATTAGAGGTTTTTAAGAACAGATTAGACAAACACCTGTCACTGGTGGTCTAGGTATATTTGGTTCTTCCTCTGCACAAGAGGCTAGATTAGATGACCTCTCAAGGTCCTTTCCAGCCCTACATTTCTCTGATTTTAAGGTCAAGTTCTGAAGTCTTCAGAGAAAATGCACTGACTTAAGTGGAAATATTCCAGACTGAAATAGGTTTACTGAAATCAAAACTGGGTTGGTGCAAGTATAACAGTACAGGCAGTCCCCGGGTTACGTACAAGATAGGGACTGTAGGTTTGTTCTTAAGTTGAATCTGTATGTAAGTCGGAACTGGCGTCAGCCACTGCTGAAACTGATCAGTTTCAACCGCGGCTGAATCTGGACGCCAGTTCTGACTTACATACAGATTCAACTTAAGAAACCCAGGCGTCCCCAAATCAGCTGCTGCTGAAACTGATCAGCGGCTGATTCCAGGAAGCCTGGGGCACAGCAACTCTGCCTCGGTTCCGGCAGCGGCTGACTTGGGGACGCCTGGGGCAGAGCAGCTGGGGTGCTGCTGGGTTGCTCCAGTAGCGCGGCTCCTCGGCGTAACTCGGGGACTGCCTGTACTTAGTTAATAAAAAGACTCTTAGGATGAAAACAGGCCAACATACCTGAAGTTTACCCGATTTTAAAGCAGCAAACATACATTGGGCTGTGTTAAAGGCATGTCTCCAATTGTGATATGCAACATTTTTTCGATAATTTTTCTTCACACTCAAAATCCATCTGCAAAGAACCTTTAATAAAGAACGTCATTCAGTTAAGTTCAGCAAAATATATTTCAAGTTTAGTCTTTTCACACACAAAAATAAAATAAAGAAAATTCTACTGTAGATTTAATGTGGAAAGATTCGAGTTTTTATTTGTCTTGAGTAAACTTTAGTATTAACACTTTTTTGTAAAATATGGATAATCTTAGGTTCCTCACTTCCTAAACCTACAGCAGAGGTGGAGAACCTCTGGCCTGGATCTGGTCCCCTCCTTAGTTTGATCTGACCTATAGTAAGTATGCTCCGCAGCTGGCTGGTAACACAGCAATCCCAGTAATCCAAGCTGAGGTTTTTAAGTTTTTTTTTCCTTTTTACTTGTTTGTGGCTCCCAACTGATTTTTCTGTGGGTCAGTGGCCCCAGACTGAAAAAGGTTCCCCACCCCTGGCCTAGGGATTGCTGAACAGTTTATAGGCAATTATAGTTTTTTAAATTTACTACAGGGACATGTATTCTGTAGAGTTACCAGTCCATGACATGAACCAACAACTCAACTATGATCCCAGGTACACTAGTGTAGACCCAACATTTTGAGGTATGCTGATTTAACTGAATGAAAAGCTTTTTCCACAGTATTTACGTGTTCACCAGAATCTATTTCATTTTGAATTAAAAGGATCCCAACAGGCGTTTGGAAATGTGAATTTGAAAGTGAACATCAGCTCTTGCCTAACACAGGATGGGATCAAAGCATAAGAGACAGATGGACCTTGCAAAGCAAATCATATTAGATACCCTAGTGGTCCCTTCTAATATTAGAATTTAAGAATCTTAAAATATAGATTCTATGAACTGATGAGCTAGTTGAAAGATCATCCATATTTCACACCAATCACTGCAGCTAACCAGTCCACCAATCTTTCATCCTAAAACTGAGGTTGGAAGTATGTGAAAGACTATATAAAAGATTCAGACACACAAACATTTTTTAAATGAAGTTGTCTGATGTTTTACCCTTCACATTTAAATAACATTCTGCAACTTCCGTACCTCATGTTTCATTTGGAAATTCTGCATCAGGTTGAGATCCGTGAACATTCGAATTGAACAGAGTGTTGTCTCCATATCAGAAAGCTCAAAGTCGCTGAAGTAGAAGTCGGTGAGCTTGAGAGACTGTGCTGATGGCACAACAGCTGACTGGGAGAAAATAAAAGAGAACTAAGCAGTCGCAGTTAGAAAGTCTGGAAAAAAAATCAAAGCTTTTTGCATCAGGAAAATAGCAACATTTTGCTAAAGTGCAAGGTACTGAAAGGAGATGACTACATTGCCTGATTTGTCCTGTTCATTGTTTGTGCAATGTTAATCTTGTTTGGTTCTTAGAATTAATGTAAATTTATCCATGACCCAATATTATAAAAAGGATTACCTGGATCTCCTTCTGTCATCTAAATTACCCACAATATAATGCTATTAATTTTTAAGCAGATTTTAGTTGCAACTTTCTAACATGCTCTACTGAAAAATGTGCAAATGGTAATGTTCAGAGGCTTCTGAATTAGGGATAGCAAAAGGCACTACTCTGACCAGAGGGCCTGCCAAATTTCGAGCTCCTGCTCTAAATCCTGGAAGCACTAGACCTAAACAAAGAAACAGCTGGAAACTGCTTTAAAGTGGATCAAACTACATATTTCCCTCTAATCTCATTCTCAGAAATGTCTGAAACTGTACAGTTGAAATGTTTTTTAAAAGTCACAAAGGCAGACCTTGGGCATTGGAAAATTTCAGTTCCACCCATGACAGCTTAACTTTCAAAATCAGACACTACATTTAGCATGAACTATTCCAAAGTCTTTATGTATCACAGTTTCAGTTTCTGTATACAGCTGTGAAATTCATTATAGAATGCCCCCTGAAGCCTCTTTGGGATCTTTACATTAAAGATGTTAGAAATAAATATCAAGATGAATGAAGCAGAGTCTGGCACTATGATCCAAAAGCTCCTATCAGTTCTTTGCATAAGAAAAGCAGGATTCACGAATGTAGTTCCCTCATAGCTGTTTCAACCATGTATCTAGTTAAAATCAGATACAAATCAAGAGAGAGAAGGATAAAAAGGAGACATATGTTTTATCGTTTGCCTTTGTCCTTTCTGAAGTCCAGGTATATTTCTATTAACAGTAGTACTACTACTTGTAATCATGATGCTCAGCTCTCTTGGTAGAAATGACATCCTGCTTTCATAGCCACATTTCTTTTCTCACTTTTATTGTTGTGTACTACTTACATACAGAATGGGAAGCGACTGTTTAGGAAATAGTATGGAAGAAAGGGATGTTCTTCAAAATAATCCTTAGAAAGGGTTGACAGTTCTATTGGACTTAGATTTATAGAAGACAAGGGAAAATGTTAATATAGTGTAAAGAGGAGAGTGACAGATTAAAGATATACATGCTTTATTTACTGTAAAAACACAGATGAGATGCAACATCTATGGTCTGTTACTCACTTTAGTATTCAAGTACCAAACTGTCTAGTATTAAGATATTGTTGGCGGCTATACTTGATTGCTGAATAATGCTGAAGATTTTTGTAAAGCTCTAAGAACATGTGAATACCAAGTTGTTCCACATTGTTTTTCCATTCAAGACTATCTAGAGGAGGAACATGCTATAAACAGAGGAAAGTGAGAATTCTTTATCTCATCACATTCAGCTAATTGATTTTTCTAAGGTCATTCTGAATTCTAGATCTTCCCTGATACAAAGGAATGCTATATACCAGGGGTGTCCAAACTTTTTTCAAAGAGGGCCAGATTTGATGAAGTGAACATGCGTGAGGGCCGACCATTTTGCCTGACATTCTTTGAACCATTAAAATTAAATGCAAATTAACTATTTTATGCAAAGTTTATTGCAAACGGCATACTTTTCATTTCGTCACATGGATGACAAATCTAAACAGGTGTTAAATCACTCTGCCTTTCATATCTGAAGGCCAGATGAAAAAAAAATCCAGGAAGCTGAAATATATGTCAGGAACATTGTAAAGTACATTACATATTATTGGTAATAAAGGTTGTCTGTCAACTTTTAAGTTCAAAAAATATGAACAGGAACATAACACCAAGTATACATGTTGTGTCCAAATATATTTATAACTGATTTAGACCAACTGACATTAACTGAGATTTTACAATGTATTCATCTCAATACATATGGATTCGTTGGGGGGCCATAAAAGATAGATATTGCCAAATTACCTGGGGGGCCGTATTAAACCGGAACACGGGCCGCAATTGGCCCGCGGGCCGGACTTTGGACATGCCTGGTCTAGACAGTACTGGATCCTGGCATGAGAGCAGGGGACTGGACTTGATGACCTCTCGAGGTCCCTTCTAGTCCTAGTATTCTATGATTCTATACATCAGAAAATCATGAAAATGATTTGGAGAATCATGAAAATGAGGTTATGGAAACTGGAATTCAAGAAGGAATCCTATGTTACTATAAACCCTTTTCCCTAATAGTTTTACCTCTCATTTTGGGTTCACCCAGTATCCCACATTTGGGCCTTGATAGGTGAAGGGGCCTTCCTACCAATATTCTTGATAGGAAATAATACAACCACTTGGGAAATCTAATGACCATTGAAAAGGTAACTCCAAATGCTGCATTTTTCACATAGTTTCTCAGTGCGAACATAATGATTTAGTGAAGTAGGACTATTTTACTTTCTCTCTCTCGAACTGTCAATCTCTTCCACTTCTAAAACATTGAGAATAAATACATTACATCACAAGAGTCATTACATCTCATTCAAAATAGTTAAGGGGGGAGGAATGCTTCTGCGGTCAGTGTAATTTTGTGATTCTGATCTTTTCCCCAATAAGTTAACATTCCCTCCAGTGAGAGATTGCAACTGTCTCGAGGCACATTAAATACAGACAATAAGAGCCTGGCTGACTTGGGGGGCGGCACACGCAGGATTTTAAAATGCAGAGTGCAATGGCTTGCTAGATTATCACCATTCTTTTAGCTGTGTATTAACTCTCTCCCTCGTTATGCAAAATGACACTAACACAAGGCTTTTGCAAACAGATCTTTCCTGAAGCAAAAGGATGTACACAGCAGGAGCACAGCAGGACATTTTCTCATGCCTGCATTCTGACCTCTTCTATAATTTATATCATTCTATTCACTGATCTCCTGCCTTTGATGCCCACGTGGGAAGAAGAGCAACAAGCTTTTCCCCAGCTGAGAGATGAAATCACAACTTTCCTGCTATACATTCAACTTAACTGTGGCTCCGTCATTTTTCCTTTCAGTAGTTCTTCGTGACAACAGAACTCCTTTTCTTCTGTGTCGCTGCTTGAAAGCCATTTTAACTATTGTTCCTAGTCCTATTGACTGCACCTTCTGTAGTATTAATCTCCCAAACAACCACTTCTTTCATCCAAAATGTTCACTTTTTCTACCTCAGCCAAATTACAAACCAGGACAGCACAGAGAGGAGAGCAGTAACCATTAACTTTCTCTGAGGTACAATGAGCTGGTCTATAACTACTGTTGCTTACTTTATGTATTTTGATCATGTGTGGAGGCCCCAATTAGGGACTCCAATCATAAGCTGCTTGTGAAAGTATTATTTGAATGGAGTTGAATGAAACATTCTAGCTCTGGTCTCCAGTATGCATAGAAGTCACTCTCTACTCTTGCCTACTGTGGAGGAGAGGCTCCAGTGAGTGTGTACCTCAAGGACTTCTTGATGCCAAACTGGAAGAGAGCACAAGAGTACATAAGGGTTACAGAAATTCCCGGGGTTTGGTATCTACATACTAGTCTGCCAAAGAATGTCATGGTACAGTCTCTAATGAAAGCCTGTGCCATGGTCATGGAGCTATGGATACTACAAATAATGTTCTCTAGGTCTGTAATTTAAGGCAGGTCACCAAAAGATGACCCACACACTCCTGTCAGGAAGGGGGAAAGAAGGAGGACTCTGGCAAGTCATGTGAAAACTGAGAATTATATGAGTACCTAGGACCGCCACTTTACAGTCTGAGCAAAATGCTAATCAATAGATTGTGGGGGCTTTAGGAACCAAAAGAACAGCACCGCCTGTTAAGGAGAAAAGCTAATAAACTTTTGGAACTATACCTGGGATGCAAATGAATCCCCAGTCTTTGTTCAGTCTGTGAGAACAGGCTACCAACAGATGTTCTCATAAAAGAGGGATCTCGCACAACACAGTTGACAATACTGGGAAAAAGAGATGGGGTAAACTAATCTGTAGGAGTTAAGTTTAGGCTCTAAAAAGCGTGTTATGATTTTGCAATGAAATACATTCTATGAGCATTTGTTTTCAATATTCTTACTTTCCATCACTTGAATCCCTGTTTTTTTTATGAGAAGCTTATTCTTGTTTTTGCTCTAAAAATATGTAAGTGCTACGTGTTAAGCATGAATGATTTGAAGTTAAAACTAATAAGCTGGAATGCACTATTCCTTTGGGAGTGGTGAAATCTGTGAGTCCTGGAAGTGTTTAGTGAAACTGAAGTGTGACACACCACAAGAACATATGGAGGGTCCAAGTATTGGTGTGTGTTTATTGTTTGTCTGCAGAGGGACAGCAGAGACCATTGGGCTGTGAAAAAAGTACTTGTGCCGCCCGTGGCTGGAATTGTCAGGGAATAGATCCATGGCAGGTCCCTTTCATATCTAGGGAGCCTTAGGGAATAACCATTGATGGAGGAAGGTACGTGCGGCTTTGGGGAATGGAGGGAGGGTTCAGGCACGGTAATATTTCATGACAGTATTGATTGGGGGGTTTGTGTGACATGGTGGATTTATTTGGGGAGATGAGGGTTGATGTAATGTGAAGTAAGGAAGAGAGGACGCTGTGGCAGGAGAATGTATTTGTGGTATTTGGGTTTATTTGGTGGCAGAAGAGGGATGAGAGATGGTTGTGGGCCCAATCATCTCTCCTCCTGTCTCATCTTCTACTCTCTCCCTCTCTGGCACCAAGCCCAGCTCTGCCAGAAGGGAAGAAACAGGACTAGTTTGCTGGACACGCTCAGGAAGGAATCTGGCCACTGCTCCATGTCAGGGCCTGTAGACCCATCTCACTGCCTGCCACTTGGGTCTAGGGACTCTCCTTGCTTGTTCTGTTGCTAGGCCACCAGATAGTGGCACCAACGTTCATATTTCATGGGCTGCGCCCCTTCCACTCCTAATTACCTGCCACCTATAATGCCAGTGTGCTAAATTCTCAGCATGGGATAGTGCCTATTTTCCAATGATCATTTGTATTCTGTTTCAGAGAAATAACCCTATTTAGGACAGCATGGGCTTAAGTACAAACCTAAATTGGGATAGACTTATGCCCGTGGTTTCCTAGATCAGAATCTTAATCAGGTTAAAAGTAGGAACAGAGCCTTTTTTTCCGAGCCAGAGATAAAAATACACATTTCTAAAGCAGAGTGTAAGTTCAGATTTAGGAACAAATATTTACCCTGTATTTAAGTTAAAACTGGGCTGAGGAGCACCGATTTCTAAGCAACTTAAAATGACCCATTTGATCTTGAGAGTTCTTTTACCAATGTCATCAATATACAGAAACACTAGATGCTTCAGAAAAATATAATAAACATGATGATAGCTCATTTTTTTGCCATTTCCAAGTGTTTTATTTTATTTTTAAAATGTAAACTAAGAAAAATGCTTTCATGAATGTACATGAGGAGAGATTAAAAAGCCGGGGATTTTTCAGATTGGAAAAAAGATGACTAAGGGTATGTCTACACTGAAGCTTATTTTGGAAAAAGCTATTCTGGAAGATATTTTCTGGAAGAGCTTATTTCAAAATAGAGCATCTACGCTACAGGGAAGCGTCAAAATTAGTCCGAGGCAGGCTCCCCTAATGTGGACATGCTATCTCAACTTAGAGCCCCAGGAGACACTGGGGAGAAATAACTTTAGAATGGCCCCGGTGAGGAGCTATTTCAACATAGCAGCAGTGGAGCATCCATACACACCCTCTTCCGAAAGAGCTTTTTCAGAAAAAGCGTTTTTCCTCAAGGAATGAAGTTTACCAATATCAGAAAAAGCCCGCAGTTATTTTGATTTTCTTTCAAAATAGTGCAGTTGCTGTGTGGATGCTAGTATTGTTTTTCTGGAATAATGGCTGTTATTCTGGAAAAACAGTGCAGTGTACATGCGTTATGACAGAGGTCTATAAAATCGCGACTGATGTGGAGAAAGTGACTAAGGAAAAATTATTCACTTGTTCCCATAATGTAAAAACTAAGGGTCACCAAATTAAATTAATAGGCAGCAGATTTAAAACAAACAAAAAGAAGTACATCTTCACACAATGCCCAGTCAATCTGTGGAATTCCTTGCCAGAGGATGTTGTGAAGGCCATGACTATAACAAGGTTAAAAAAAGAGCTAGATAAATTCATTGACGATAGGTCAATGAATGGCTATTAGCCAGCATTGGCAGGGATGCTGACCTTAACCTCTGTTTGTCGGAAGCTGGGAATCGGTGACGGGATGGACAACCTGTTCTATTCCTTCCTTCCAGGGCACCTGACATTGGTCACTGTCAGAAGACAGAATACTAGGCTAGATGGACCCTTGGTCTGACCCAGTATGGGCGTTCTGATATTCTTATATCAGAAATGGGTATTGTTGATTATAGATTTTTAAAGATTTGTTAAAGGAAGAGCAAGATCAGCTTCTTATCCTGGTTTTAGGAACAAAGATTCTATTGATACATCATGTAATGCATTGTAATACCACACGCAGGTCAACTGTTTGAATATTACTGAATGGATATTAGGGGCTCTACAGTAATTTTAAATGAAAACACCCACCTGGCAATTTATTCTGTCAGATTTAATTTTAGATTCACAGTTGTAGTTTGTATCATCAATGCACTTCATTGCTCACTTGAAAATTACAATGGGCATGTCTATGCTATGAAATTATTTCAAAATAACTTATTCAAAACAACTATTTCAAAATAAGCTTATTCCCTGAGGAAAGCTGGAATACAAATTTTGAAATAACCAGCTTGTTATTTCAAAATAATGGGTTTGGTAGTGTGGACACACTGCTTATTTTTTTGAAATAAGGGGGACTATTTTGAAGGCACTTCCTAGTATAGAGCAGGCAGTAAGAGTAGAAGGGAGGGTAATTCCTCCATGGCTTCATTCATTTCTGAGAGGTCTCAGAAAATAGTTTTGTACAACGATTCTTCTAAGTCTAGGATTTTCTCATGTGGTGTTTCCTGGTAACCCCTCTTGTTGAATGTGTATGTTCAGTCACTGGAAGAATTAATGCTGAGGCTTGGGCTGGTGACACTCAGCTCTTTTTCCTACCCAAATGCTGCCAAATGCCTTCCCTGGTGTCCTTAAATCAACCGAGGCAGACTCATATAGCTGGTTTTAATGTACCTTCGAACAGTATTAAGATAAAAGTGATTCTGGTGAAATGGGTAAGCAACTGAAGGGAGGACAAAGACAGTGTGAGCCCCCTGTTTGTATTCTAAAGATCTTGGGTGATCATGTAACTGCAGTGACTAGGAGAGCTTCTTTGCCCCTATGCACCTGGCCAAGAGACTGAGACCATTTCTTTTGATTGTGAACCTTGCTACCAGGATCCAGGCCATTGTCTCCTTGGCTGTGTCCAGACTCAGGGGTTTTTTCGGGAAAAGTAGCCTTTTTCCAAAAAAACATCACCTGCGTCTAGACTGCAGCCGCGTTCTTTCGAACTTAAATCGAAAGAACGCGGCTTTTCTTTCAACGGCGGTAAACCTCATTTCACGAGGAAGAACGCCTTCTTTCGAAAGTGCTTCTTTCGAAAGAAGACGTTCTTGAATGTAAATAGGGCTTCTTCGAAAGAGAGCATCCAGACTCACTGGGTGCTTTCTTTCGAAAAAGCGGCTTGCTCTTTTGAAAGTTCCGTGTGCAGTCTAGACGTTCTCTTTCAAAAGAAGCTCTTTCGAAAGTATCTTTCGAAAGAGCCTCTTTCGAAAGAGGCTTGCAGTCTAGACATAGCCCTTGAGATTAAACTACTGCAATGCACTCTAAATCTACGCAGAAAATGATGCCAGGCAGCCTCTTTGGCAGATGGGCTTCCATGATGGATGGGGGCACCCAACTCCCTCAGTATGAGCTCAAGTGGCTAGTCTGAGACTCTGATGGAGCCACAACATCCACCCTGCAATTTTTAGTACACTAGCTCGAGCCCCACTAGTGGGGATCTGTTTACCCAGGACTCCTACCTGCCGTGTATACATACACTTGAAACCTAATGTCCTGCCATTGATCCAACACAGGTCACTATCTGAGATTCTGAAATCCAAAAAATAAACTGGAAAAGTTGAGAAATGATTTATAATGTGCATATCCCCATTTTCAATCAGCTACTGAACTAGTCCGAATGTTTTGAACCCTAATTAAATTTCAAAATTTGAAGGAAAAAGTATTCCAGTAATTTAAAATTTAAAACATAGGTAGAAAACCACACCTCTTGGGGCGAGGCTCCCAGTGGTACCATCACTAGCAGGGGCCAGCTTTTAAAAAAGAGGAAGCTGCTGGCATGGCCTTCTCTGTCAAGAACCCTGCCCTCTGCAATCAACCCTCATCTTAGCTCAAAATAGCACAAGCCTGCTGACCTCCAGCACGTGCAAAAAAATCTGATCACTTTTCCACACTTTTGGAGAGGGAAGGTGAATGCTCTGTGGGCTGGAGTCTGTGGTAGGCGTGTCTTATGTTTTTCTCATTTGTGGTTTTAGGGAGGCTACAGTTATTCTTGTGTGCATTGTTTTGACAGTATTTTTAACATATGGCAGAGGTACCAGAGCCTTTGTTTATAAAAACAGAACAGAAAGTTTTCTTTTTTACAAAATGTAAGCAAACAAACATCGGCATGCTCAGTAGTGCTCATCACATTGTGAATTATGACTAGCGGAAAGTCTATTGATTTGGCTTGGGGTCTTTTCTCTTAAACATAATAGTTCCTCCAAGAAGATGTTACAGGCAATAAAAAGAGAGATTCTTTAAATTTGTTATTCAAACTCTGAATGATAAAACACAAAACAGAACACAAGTTTTCTTTCTGATGTCATCCACCACTATCATGTGCAGTTGAATTCTTCTATTGACTTAAAGGAGGATCACTGAAAATAAAGGTCTGTTTCACAAAGTATCAAGACTGACAAAGTCTATTGCTCTCTATAGTAGGAAAGGCTGTTCATGGTCCTACAAATTCTATAGAGAGGAAACAGTAAACTAGCCATCTCTGAATCCTGAGATAGCCATTAGATGATTAGGAGGAAACTAGCCACTGGCAACCTATTCAGAAGATCTCTGCTGTGGTGTAGCTTGTTAAGCTACCCATGTGTTCCTATTTTACATTCTCTAGATCAGAGGTGGACAAAAGGGCCTCCGTGGGTTGGATCCAGCCCACCAAGCGAGTTGATCTGGCCCATGGAGGCTCTGCCGTTCCCCCTACCCCCAGGCCACATAAGGCCTGGTGGGGGCGGGGGAAGGAAGTGGGGAAAGCATGCGAAGCCTTCTCCACCCTGCAAGGAGCACACGGCACTTCTAAAACTAAAAGCTGTTTGAATTTTGTCCTCAGAATAAGAACCAGAGATCAGCAGTACAATCAGTGATCAAGAAGCAAGCCCTGAATGGAAACCACAGAAGTACACAATGAGCAAATGGGGAGGGGGAATACAGTAATTACAGTATCCCACGATTAATATTTAGGTAGAGCTGATAGAAAAACAAAAATTTCTGTCCTGCGGAGATGCTGATATTTCAACATTTGTCTTCATCCCAAAGCACATGAAGACCTGAAATATTTAAACAACAGTAAAAAAAATGCAATTACCGCTGTTACCTGCAGCTCCCTTGTTTCCTCCTCAGTGGCTGAAGCATGATATGAGAGGACCTATGGGACAAGGAATGCAGAAACCTAAGTACAAATAAAAGCACACAATGTAAAAAAAGAAAAAGGTTCAGATTTTGCCTCCAATGCTGCAATGCACTGACTTTAATGGAGCTCTGCATGAGCATGGGGATGCTCATCATAGTGGTTCTTGATATAATCAGGACAAGAAAATCTATAAATGAGCAAGTGATCAAAATATTTTTGTTATATGGATTAGCTATGAGACTAAAAGACAGGAGAATGCTACCATGTTGGGCATCTTTAAACATACATGAAATTAAGAGACAATTCTGGTTTAAGAAAAAGAAAGACTTTGTAATAGCCTAAATAGAATTTTATTTTTAAAATGACAAACCAGCAAAGTTACTAATATGAGATGTAATTAGCCTCCCAACCTTATTTTTAAAAAGCACTGAAATGACTTAGCTGTATAGTTATCATCTCCCCCACTTAAAAGCAATTAACTGCAGGTTTACATGAGAGTTGTAATGTTTCCTTTAGAAACTTGGGTATATAATCCACATTTTAGAATTTTTGCAAACATTCTTATTTACCCGTTAGACAGATTCAAAGCCTACAAAATTTAATTTTCAGGCTTACAGTTATCTAGGGTTGGCAGATGGTTTAACCAAAAATACCAAACACCTCCTCTTCCCCTCCCCCTCAAAAAAACCCACTAGGGAAAACATTATTTTGAGGGGAAAAAAAGGGGGGAGACCAAAGTTGTTGAGAAAAAAAAAGGACCCCAAGAGTTATTAAACAAAAAAATAAATACATAAAATAAAACAGCATGGCCCCTTTAAGTGCATGCAGAGTCAGAATAGGGATAGGAAGATGAGAGGTTGAGCACTAAGACTCAGAGAAGGCATTGCTTCCCCTTGCTCAGGTCTTTAGGCTTTTTTGCCGGCAGCCCTCTTGTTTTCTTTGTTGAGCCAGAAGGGAGCTTCCCTGCGGAACCAGGTAAGCAGGGGGTCCAGAGGCAGGAAGAGGGGGGCCTGAGGGGAGGGGATGGGGACTGGGCCCAGTTGCTGAGTGTGTCATAGGGTTGCCAAGTGTCTGATATTTTTGCCTCTTGGCAGGGGAAAACCCCTCAGAAAATTCTGAATATTTTAGGTGTCCGGTATTTTCTGAATTTTTTACTGGATAGGAAGTGAAAATATTGGACTGTCCGGGTCAATACCGGGCACCTAGCAACCCTACATCATCTTCCAAGTATTTTAGCATATCATGTTAGAACCTCCTTTAACACCACGGTCATTAAATCTAACCATAAACAACTGAAAGGCTAGGACCAGATGACATTCATGCTTGATATACTTTGATGGAGTTAGAGGAAGTCACAGAAAGCCTACAGTAATCCTGCTGTTATTGCATTTACTGCTTTATTTAAAGGACTGAGCCAAAATCATCACAGAAAACATTAGACAAGATGATATCCTTAATCCTCCAAACCATTTCCGCTTTCTGTGCAGTTGGACAAACCAACTGTGTCGATCAGGGAAAACAGCATTCGTGTCTAACACTGGATCTCATGAGTGCAGTAAAAAACACTCAACAAATAAAATATTGTGCATGCAAATATGGAATCAAGCAGCAAATAAGTATCACTCCTGTAAATGAGTTGGCCAGACTCCGCTCACTTTACTTATATTAATATTTTTAGGTCCAAAAATATATGACATACAGATATAAGTATTGCCTAGATTTTGAGCTCACCTCTAATGTCACCATCTGCTTGGCCATGGCTCTCTCCACAGCTTCGTACATCTGTGTATTCTGAATCCCCAAGCCACAAAAGATGACAAAGGCTTCCAGAAACTGTTCGTCATTTCTGTTGAAAGCCTTGATTTTGCCTAAGTTTTCTTCCATCTTATTTACAAGCTGACAAACCCCTACGTCAGGTCACAGGAATGAAAAGAAGTAATATAGCAATTGCTAAAATACCACACTGTTATGTGAAACAAAACAAAAAATATTAGCTCTCTGAATTATTATAGTCAATAAAACAAAATATCAGTATATTTTAAAGCAAACAGATACAGAACACAAATTAGAATGCTATAAAAGGACTAAAATGGAATTAATTTAATATGCCAAAGAATAAAAACTATAGTACTATATCTTGTACGGTGGATTTACAAGTACTCATTAAGATGTAAAAAGCAGATATATAGCTCTGCGTAGCCTGCATTATTTTGCAAAATTCTAAAGGGTAGTTTTCTTCTTGACTTATTATTAAAAGTACTTACTTTAGATTGACTTAATCCCCAAAGACAATTTGTCCTTCAAAAGCTAATTAGATTTTTGTAACCATGCCAAAAGAACAGTTTTGAATGTCAGGATAGTGGCACATAAAGTTTGCACTTCCTTATTTGAAACAGTACCAGAAAGTTAACAAAATATTAAACATAATAAACTTCAAGTTTAGGCTCAAAGTTCAAGTGTGCTTGCTATGATTCTATGAAGCTGTGGTCTTTTCAAGGAAGGGCCCGATCAATGCCCTTTTAAGTCACTGGAAAGCCTCCTATTGACTTCAGTTGGATTTGGATCAAGCCCTAACTACAGATGACTTATTATTAAAAATAAACAGCTACAGATGTTATCACCAGGTTCTGCTGACATTGTTCAGTAACAGACATATAGTGTGTATATGCCTCTAACATTTCTGACTGTGAGGGCAAACTCTTGTGTGATCAAATGTAAATAATTATGCCATTAGAAAGTTGCAGACTAACAATTAAAAATTATAATGAGTTAGGAATTGCAAAAATTATGTTTGAAGATATATTTTTGTCATAGTGCATATTCTGTGTTTTTTATGCCACACATTTAATACTATAATCAATTATGTATTTAACTATATATTTAACCAGTAAAACAGAAATGCAAAACATTATTTTGGGTGACACCCAACTAACATTGCTATTGGAACTGTAACTTAACATTTCCTTGCTTCAGGATTTACACCACTATAAATGGGAACAGAATTTTGATCCCTGACTTTTTGATACTTATAACGTGCAGCTTTATGAACAAAGCCTCTACAATGCCAGAGCTGTTCTCAGCTTCTGAAAAGGGGAGTTGGGGGTAGGGTGAGAATTTTACTGGAAACTATGTGCAATCATATCAAGCGTGGGTGTAATCAGAACCTATTTTAAGGCCTTGTCTACATTATGGAATGTTTACAGAAAATTCCCTCCATTGCTAGCAATCTACACTTCTAGCCTAAAATCACTGATTTTAGATTAAGAAAAACCTTATGTGCAAGCATAATGCATCCATGACTTCTTTGTAAGGACATGCCTGCAGTGCACACTTATTTCGGAAACAGTGCATCTACACAGCAAATGCCCATCGAAATAGTTCTGAGCTATTTCAAAATAGAGCATCCACACTCATTGGACGTGGAATTGCATTCAAGGACACCTGGAAGCACTTCAGGTTAGGCATCAGGACAGCTACTTCAGAATAGCCATTATTCCTCATAGAATGAGGGTAACAGGCATCCGGAATAAGATGACCGTTATTTTGATATTATTTCGAAATAACGGGCTTGCTGTGTAGACGCTTTCAAAGTTATTCCAGAATAATGTGCTGTGTAGATATGCCCTTACAGTCTAGACTACTCTGAGAACAAAATGATTACTGCACTCTCGTATGGAGGAGGCTTTGAAATGTAAAGGTTCTGTATGTGGAAGAGTTTCCAATCTGCATATATCACAGTAAGGCTACATCTACACTGCACAGTTATTTTGGAATAAGATATTCCAGAATAGTTATTCTGAAATAACTTATTTTGAAATAGCATATCTACACTGCAGGGAAGCCTCAAAATTAGTTCGAGGCAAGCTTCCCTAGTGCAGACTTGCTATCTTGATTTATAGCCCTAGGAGGAATAACTTAAAATGGCCCTGGTGAGGGGCTATTTCGAAATAGCAGCAGTGGAGCGTCTACACAGTCCCTATTCCAAAATAGCTGTTTCGGAATAAGCATTATTCTTCGTAGAATGAGGATTACAGAAGTCGGAATAAGCTTCCAGTTATTTTGAAATTGTTTTGAAATAATGCTGTTGCTGTGTAGATGCTCGCATAGTTATTTCGGAATAACAGTTGTTGTTCCAAAATAACTTTGCTGTGTAACAATTTCCCTTTTTTGCCATATTATGCCCTATTTTGGGAAATTCTCCAAGGACCAGATCCTGCTCTTCCTGAATTAATAGGAATGCTGCAATTGAATTGTAAGCTCTTTGGGGCAAAAATCTGTCTTTTTGTCAGATATGAGTATGGTGCCAACGCAATGGTTGCCTGATTCCTCATTGGGACCTTTCAGTGCTACAGCAAAAGAGATAATACACAACAATGAATAAGAATGGATTTGCTCCCTCTGTAGAAGAGGAACGGATCTATCATTAGACTCTGTTGAGGGTGTGGGACAATTTCATGGACTTTCAACTCTGTTTAGTGCTGTTTATGAAATTATAATTATTTCCATAGCAACTGTGATGTAATGAATAGTGAATTAGGACTTCCAGCAGTGAATAAGCCAGAAGATCATATGAACTCTGAAAAATGTAGATTCTGTTTTCATGTAAATGACTCTATTAATAAAATCAGGGAGAGAATTACAGTAAATATACTGCATGATATAGATTATTTTTCAAGCACTCATGAAATAGATTATTTTTCAAAAGTTTTCCATGAGCCATCAGTGGGCCCATACACATCAGAATTAAAGGAGTCCAAATTCTTTTTCAGGGCATACACTGGAAACCCTTTTCCACTAAACAATACACATTTGGGATTTGGTAGAGAGTGATGCTGAGTGTGGTTGAGAGGTAGGAAAGCTGGCTAGCAACTGCTGTCAGAAACCAACAGATGATAGTTCCTGAGGGACTCCATTTTATAGTCTTGTGCTACTTCTTGCTGCTGGAAAAGGCGCATATATCTGGTTTCTAACCCTGAAAATCTACAGACTATGGATAACATTTTCAAAAGCTGCAAAGTGACTTTATGGTATATCCACACTTTTGAGCTGAGGTAGAATTTCCAGCTGAGACATTGTATGTGCACTCAGATCAAATCAGCATGCCAAAACCAGAAGTGTAACTATGGTGATGGAGTGGTGAGACAAGCTAGTTGGCTCGAATATGTCCCCTACATACTTACGCTGGTGGAACCCATCCTGCTACAGCTACACTGCTACTTTTCAATCAAAACTAATGTGGGTATGTCTGCCTGAGCTGAAAGTTACTCCTCCAGCTCAAAGCGCAGATGCACTTTTGAAAGTGAAATGTTAGTTCATAACATGACTTACATCTGAGAACTCTTGTAATCCATTTGAGGGTCAACAGGCCTTAAGCTCCAAGGGTATGTCTACACTACAGCATTATTTCGAAATATCTAATTTCAAAATAAGATATTTCAAAATAACACATCTACACACAAAATGAATTTCGAAATAGCATTTGGCTATTTCGAAATAGTGCGTCCACACTGAGTGGATGCTGAATCTCATTTAAGGCCAGCCGGAACCAGGTCCTGCAGGGCATCAGGTCAGGAGTTACTTTGTGTGGCTGCTGCCTGAGGCTATCTGAGGCCTGTGCTTAAAGGGCCCCCCATTCCGGGCAGCCGGTTCTCAGGTTTCCCTGCTTGCTTGCCTAACTTGATGAGGGACAGCAAAGCATTTTGTCTCTGTGTGCTGTGGTTGCCCTCACTTGGGATACCACAGCACTCTGCAACATGGAGCCAGAAATGCCTGGTGCTTCTTGTGGACGCATTGCCGCGAGCCTGGCTACACTTTCTGCAGGCTGCCATCCAGGAGGTCCATCGGGGGGCTGTCAGTATCCAGGAGGCCCTGCGGGAAAGCTCCACCCTGAGGAGCACTAAGAGCCTCCCTGGTCTGCCCCACAGGTCGCTTGTGCCTCATTCCTCCCTCACGTCCTTCCACTTCCCTAACCCCCCTTCCTGATGTAAAATAAAATACATGTATTTTCATTAACACAAACTCTCTTATTTAACAAAACCGGGGAAGAGGGAAAATGAAACTCTGGTGAGACTGGAGAAAGGAGGTGGGAGAGGGGAGAAGAAAGAGTGGGAGAGGGGAGGGGGAAACCTGGGAGGACGGCACTGGAAGGTGGAAGGAAGGGGAAGAAGGGGGAGGGGAAGCTCAGGGCTCAGGTTTGGGGGTCTTGCTGGACCAGCTTGATTTTCTTACAAACCTGCTCCTGGGTTCGCATGTGGCCTTTGGTGGCCAGGCTGGCAGCCATCCTACCATAGATGGCCGCGTTCCCGCATCTAGTGCGGAGATCATGGATATTGGGGACATGTCTAATTCGAATTAACTGTTAAACCTCATTCCAGGAGGAATAACAGCTAATTCGAGTTAGGGCTTTACTTTGAACTCCCGTTTCACTGCCGCGTGTAGACGCGGGCAGTTATTCCGGGCTTCATTTGCAATTTCGGTCACCCTCATTAGCCTCCCTAGTTCAAAGTAGGGGGCTAGTGTAGACATACTCTTAGTGAAAAATTCAGTGGGAAATGGAAGGTGGCAGGAGATGAATGCTTTTTAAAATAATTTTAGTTTAAATCACCAAACCACCTTTTCCTGGTGCTTGCTCCTTTACCAATACTATGAAACATTATGACCTCCATTGTGAAATGCAACAAAAATTATAAAAAACCTCTTATTTTTGTTCCCATTTCAGTTTTTAAAAAAGAAAATTAACTGCTCACTTGTGGAATCAGTGGCTGACCTACAGCAATAATGGAGATGCTTACTCTAAATAGGAGAGATAGCATTAAGAAATAAGACACAATCTAGAGCTATCTGGATCTCATGAAAGCATTATGCAGTTGAACTCACCAAGCAAAACACAGTACCAACCATCCCACATTATAGTGATTGAAACCACTGATTTCTCAAATAAATATCTCATAACTGCATGAAATGTAAATGTTGGTGTAACTTTACAAGACCATACATTTACTATATTTACCCACCTGCAGGCACTATTCTGTACTTTGAGGCTGAATCACAGCTTTACTTACATAAGTTACATAAGTGTGACTCCAGCGATTTCAATAGTTACTCTAGATTTACACAGATGTAATGGGGAGTAGAAGTAACGTTTTGTGCAAGCAACAAACAAGACATTGTAATAAAACAGACTATATTAAAAGAATACATCAACAGTAAATGAAACATGTGACAAGGTGACATTTATTACCTTGAGGTTGTCCCACCAGCTAAAGAATATAGATGCTGAATTATTCTGACATAGTGATAACACCTAGCTGCTGGGCAAGAGTTTCATGCGCTTGTACTGCGTGTGAAGAGTGACTTAGCACTGTCTATTCACTAGATCACTCATTAGATGCACTTTGTATCCTTCTAGATATTTCTCCTTTTTTATTTGCTTTTCTTTTTACAGAATTTTCACTGAAAACATTTTTAAACTCCTATAACATAAAGACTGTAATGACTAAGAATACATAGGGTGAGGTTCTCATCCAGGCCCTGAGCCCTGGACTCTGGCTAAAAGATCTGGAGTGGTATTTATTTTACACCCAGATCTGACCAGGGAGGATTCTTCTAACGCAATAACTAAGGAAGACAGCTCTTGGAGAACCCCCTTGTTAGCTCTGAAGTAGAAAGATGGGTAGGGCTGGGGGCAGGAGGGGCATGTCAGGGGCAGGGTCACCACATGTAGGGCTTCGGCTCCAAGGAAAGCTGTCATAACTTATATAGGCTCCCAATGCAAACTACATTATAGTAAGACCCATGATGTGGTTTAAAGCCTCTATAGCTTCCCATATCCCTAGGGCTGTAAGTTCTGTGCTGCCCTCTTAGAGGTACCACCCAGAATCCCATCCATTATTTTCCCATGTTCATGTATACTTCACACAAAACTCTTTACAAAAGGCTTCCTAACTACCTAAATTCCAATATGCACTGCCAGGTGTATTTTAAACAGGTGTGTTAGTCAAGACGAACCCCAAGCTGTCTGGGGGTACGTCTAGACTACATGCCTCTGTCGCCAGAGGCATGTAGATTAGGCTACCAGACATAGTAAAATGAAGCGGCGATTATTTAAATCCCCGCTTCATTTAAATTTACATGGCTGCCGCGCTGAGCCGACTAACAGCTGATCAGCTGTTAGTCGGCTCAGCGCGGCAGCCATGTAAATTTAAATGAAGCGGCGATTATTTAAATCCCCGCTTCATTTAAATTTACATGGCTGCCGCGCTGAGCCGACTAACAGCTGATCAGCTGTTAGTCGGCTCAGCGCGGCAGCCATGTAAATTTAAATGAAGCGGCGATTATTTAAATCCCCGCTTCATTTAAATTTACATGGCTGCCGCGCTGAGCCGACTAACAGCTGATCAGCTGTTAGTCGGCTCAGCGCGGCAGCCATGTAAATTTAAATGAAGCGGCGATTATTTAAATCCCCGCTTCATTTTACTATGTCTGGTAGCCTAATCTACATGCCTCTGGCGACAGAGGCATGTAGTCTAGATGTACCCCTAGAGTCTACCATGACGTGTTACAATAAAGGTCTCAATGGCCACATTAAAGTTTTAAAATGTGTTAGTTATTTTCAAAATACATCTTTACTCCTAGTCTAGACTAGCACTATGTGAAATACCTATGGAGGAGATCCTGAGGCCCTTCCTTAGTTTTGGCACAGTCTTTACCCAAGTGAATTCCCACTGACATCAATCAGTCCACACTCCCAATGAGGACAATGGGAATTCTTCTATGTAAGGACTTAATAGAAATTCATATTTGACCCTTAGGATTCCACTCTGGCAATTGAACTCTGCTTCCTGCTCGAGGTGAAGGGGCTTCCTCAGGACTGTTTCCAGATCAGTAATCAGGCCAGCCATACCCCTATGACAAATGGAGCATTTCCAGTTTGCACCACTGATGTTTAATGGGTGCAGATCCACAATGATCACTCCTTGTCCAGAAATGCCCTCGTGCCAGAGGAGTTGTTTGACAAGTGAAGATTTCAACATGAGCGCACTTAAACCTCCTGGGCGTTCCCCTCCAACAGGGGGATTTTCTGCTGACCAGATGTGATCAGGTCTGACCACTTTACACCATCTGAGTGGTACAAATGAGCTGGATATGATTAGAGAGTACATCCCATAGACTACTGTCTTTCCTATTCCTCAAAACAATATAATATTTTAATATACTACATTTGTTGCATTAATTGAGCGTGTTTGAATGTTAAAAAGTCATTATCAACATAAAATCTAAACAACATAAAAGAAGAGTTAGAAGTAGTTGCAGGTGCTTCTTCTCCCCCTTAATCTATATGCCAGGTGTCTCAAATTTTTATAAAAGCGACGAAGAGTCCTGTGGCACCTTATAGACTAACTGAAGTGTAGGAGCATAAGCTTTCGTGGGCAAAGACCCACTTCGTCAGATGCATGTGACGAAGTGGGTCTTCTTTGCCCACGAAAGCTTATGCTCCTACACTTCAGTTAGTCTATAAGGTGCCACAGGACTCTTCGTCGCTTTTGCAGATTCAGACTAACACGGCTACCCCTCTGATACTCAAATTTTTATATTTTCCTATTTAAAAAAAAAAGAAAAGCTTTTCTCTTACTTATTACCAGGCATAAGACCCATAGAAATAACAACTGACTCCAACTGCATATAAGAGATACTATTAAAATAATTACTAACAAAATGTTGTTAAGTGCACAAAGGAAGTAAACAGAAAAAGTAGAGGAAAAATAATTTGAGGTCTTATTGGTATTTTTTCACCTTTAGTAGGTAAAACAATGACAGACAGCAGTATGATGGTGCCTTGAATTAGAAATATGACAACTATTTCATTGTGTTTAAGAATTTTCTCCTGTGATATCAGATGTCAAGTTGCTGAGATTATATTTTGTAATACAGGCAGTCCCCGAGTTACGTGGATCCGACTTATGTCGGATCCCCTACATACGAACGGGGCTTTTCTCGCCGTGGAGGACGGGGGCGGCGGAACCGCCCAGATGCACCGCGGTCCCACCGCCCGCCACCCCCGTGGCGAGAAAAGCCACTCCGCGTCTTCCTGGTCTGCTGGGGGTCCCCCCCCAGTCCAGCCTTTTCTCTCCGACGCCTGGGGTAGAGCAGCTAGGGTGCTGCCGGGTTGGTCCCCGCAGCGCCGAGGTGCGGCGCTGCGGGGACCTACCCGGCAGCGCCCCAGCTGCTCTGTCCCAGGGGTCCAGATTCAGACACTGTTGAAACTGATCAGCGGCTGATTCCAGGAAGCCCAGGGCAGAGCAGCTCTGCCTCGGGCTTCCTGTAGTCAGCTGCTGGTCAGTTTCAACAGCTGCTGAATCTGGACACCAGTTCCGACTTACATACAAATTCAACTTAAGAACAAACCTACAGTCCCTATCTTGTACATAACCCGGGGATTGCTTGTACAGGAAGACTACTGTATAGCAATTATACACATGTATAAAAAATACTATTAGTACAACTAGTAGTATAATATACATTTTATCTCATATAAAAACATCAGTCAAACAAAATATAACATGCATCTAATGACTGGACATGCAGTGTATAAGTATAAAGAAATCAAAATTGTAATACCTATTACTTTATTCTTCTTCCCATTTTTTATTGGTGTACAAAGCAAACTTTTTATGTGCTGGTTCACATTTTCTGCATTTTCATTCTATTAAGCAAATAGAGAATACAGTTACAAATTTACAGAGAGATCTGCACCATGCAAGGAAGGCAGAATATAAAACTAATTTTTATATTATACATTTTTTGGGGGAGAGACCATATCTTCATTTGTGTTCATGCAGCATCTAGTATAATGGGGACTAGGGAATAAAGCATAAATGAATGAGTAATAGCAAGGTTTCTAGATGAATTTCATTTGGGTCCACTTTCATTTTACTGTTATTCCTTTCATTAGAATGAAAATGACTATATTGTATAGTAGGGACAGATTTACAACTCAGAGTGGCTGAGGAGAAATTCATGGGGCTCAAAGATACCTTCTCCACTTCACCTGTTGTGCAGATATTTAAGTAATGAAAGAAAATTGACTTAATTCTGCTTTTACCCCCAGTATTGGTGTCTCATAGGGATAACTGAGAGCAAAGTATGGTCCAAGGTCTGATTCCATATAAGGGAAGGAAAAAATATTAGCATGTTAATATTTCAGCTCTGAAGTTTCTTTGATTCTTGGCTGCCTGATGTAGTTTCTCTTTAGCCTAACAGGCATGATCACTTCATAAACTATTCTGCTATTTGAAATAGGAATCCAGAAGAGTGTTACAAGGAGGAGGGAGAAAAATTGTTCTCCTTGGTCTCTAATGATAGAACAAGAAGCAACAGGCTTAAATTGCAGCAAGGGAGATTTAAGTTGGACATCAGGAAGAACTTCCCAACTGTCCAAGTGGTTAAGCACTGGAATAATTGCCTAGGAAGGTTGTGGAATCTCCACCACTTGAGAGATTTAAGAACAGGTTGGATAGGCATCTATCTGGGATGATCTAGATGGTGCTTGGTCCTGCGAGGGTAGGGGACTGGACATGATGATCTCTCAAGGTCCCTTCCAGTTCTAGTATTCTATGAGTGCATAAATAAACAAAAATTTTGCCTACAGTGTAGGGGAGCATTCGTTATTCTTTTTAGAAAACATTCAAAAGGGTATGTCATGATTCATGTTTTATATGACTCCAGCCACTTCTTTGCAATTTAGAACCTCAATACCTGTGAAATTAACTAGAAATAAGGAGAAATGCCAGAGTTTGGAACACAGTGACCTATTCTGCGTTGCTCTTGTCTGCAACACTTTAATTTACACTAGTATCAACTACTGTGTCAACTCTCATCTCAGGTACACACAAATGTATCTTTAAAGATCTGCTGCTGCACTTTATACACTTGCTTAGTAATCTAATTACACAGGTATGAGGATGTCCATCTGAATACTCAAGGGCAAGTTCAATCATAAGTGCAACAACTCGCAACAGTTCTAGGGTGAGGTGAGAAACTGATAATGTTTTGGGGGTTATCAAGAGTCAGAAAGCCCAAACTGAGAGGAAGAGAAAAGAAACTAGCACACAGCCTTGATTTTACGGTTCATCTCTCATCCCCATAAACCAATTCTCCATGTTTGAACATTAACATTCAACCAAAGATTTACTTGCTTTCCTCAAAACGACACACAGACATTAGTTATTTTCTATGGCACTGTGGACTGGAGTGTGACCTTGCATGCTGCCCTCCTAATATGTTTTAGCCATGGAAAAGGTTCCTGCTTGGTTAGCTGACAAGGAAAATGTTTCAGTTACATAGTGAAAATTATTCTATCAGCTCTATGAAGATCTGTTTTCTATTCTTTGTATTCTTCTCTCTTCATGCACCTACTTCCCTTCTGTATACACTGTCATTTTTATCATTTTCACTTCATTTTTCCTTCCCACTTTCTCCTCTTTTGTCCCTCACTAATATTGCCTTCTGTTCTTGCTGCTCTTGTTTCCTTTTCTTCTGTCTTCCCATTGATTCCCCTATTGTTGAATGTTTAAACCATTAACCTTTTTTCCAAGCTGCAACCATCATTTGTCCCAAATGTTCTTTCCCTTTTAAGGCTAAGTCTAGACTACAGGCTTCTTTCGGAAGAAGGTTTCCGGAAGAGATCTTCCGAAAAATCTTCTTTCGAAAGAAAGCGTCCCCACTGAATGGACAGTAGCTGGCATTTAAGCTGTTATTACTATGGATGAAGTGGCTACCAGGGCAGCTGTGCTTTCTCCTCTTTCCTCTTCTTCTGAAAGAACTCCCTCTTCCCTGTCCACACATGCCTTTTTCTGAAAGCGCTCTTTCGGAAAAAAGCTTTTTCCTCATAGAAAGAGATTTACCAATGTCAGAAAAACCCTCTGTTCTTTCGATATTTTTTCAAAAGAACACGATTGCAGTGTGGACATAAGTGAAGTTTTTTTCTGAAAAAACTCTGTAGTGTAGAAATAGTCTAACTCTCCAGCAAGTGCAGTGGAGAGACGCTGAAGGAGGGCTTTCATGAAAGCTAGTTACATGTTTGGTGGAGGAAAGGAACCAATGACCCAAAGTAATGTTCATATGTGGCCTAATCCAAAGACACTTGAGAATCTCCACAATGCGTATTGCTTAGAGAAAATAGACCAATGGTCAAATGTTTGGAGAGATGGCAGGAGGGAGGAAGGGAGAACAGATATAAAAGCAGTATAAAGACTCAATGTCATTATGCTAAAAAAAATAGATTATCCATAATTCCTCTCCAGCAGTAGTATTGTTTCCTCTTTATCCATGTATGCCCATGTATCTAGGGCTGTGTCTAGACTGCAGGGTTTTTTCGAAAAAAGTAGCCTTTTTTCGAAAAAACATCACCTGCGTCTAGACTACAGCTGCGTTCTTTCAAAATTAAATCGAAAGAACGTGGCTTTTCTTTCAACGGCGGTACTCCTCATTTCACAAGGAAGAACGCCTTTTTTCGAAAGTGCTCTTTCGAAAAAAGTCGTTCTTGAATGAAAACAGGGCTTTTTCGAAAGAGAGCATCCAGACTGCCTGGGTGCTCTCTTTCGAAAAAGCGGCTTGCTTTTTTGAAAGTACTGCTTGCAGTCTAGACGCTCTTTTTCGAAAGAGGCTTTTTCGAAAGTATCTTTTGAAAAAGCCTCTTTCGAAAGAGGCTTGCAGTCTAGACATAGCCCAAAAGTAAATGCATGTCAATGTTTTTCTCAGGCATAATAAATCTTTCAGATTCCATCGAACAATGAATTTCTGCATGAGCAGAAAATTCTAATTCTGCTGCCAAATCAAAGGCCTTGTCCTAACAGCTGTTTAAAATGGTTCCCTAGGTAATTTTTTTATGTATTTTAAATTTTCTGCCAAATATTCACCTATTTCTTTGTCTGCCTAAATACAGGACATACATTTTGTCTCTCCCCCCTAAGCGCCCCCTCAGGAGCTAGACACACAGGGTACGTCTAGACTACATGCCTCTGTCGCCAGAGGCATGTAGTCTAGACATATCCACAATTAATTCTGCAAAATGCACTCTGAGCTCCTAATGTGAATAAACCATCCACAGCTGGAAGTAGAATCAAAGCAACCCCTACTATACAGTAATAGGAAAAATCTTATTGGACACTGTATTTCTGCCATGCCTACTTCTTGACCTCAGAAGGGAGAGATTATAGTGGAAGGCTGTCTTCTGACAACAATACACTCCAACCTTCCCCCCTCCACTATTTCCCTCATCCACTAAGAGGCTCCCTACAAATGTATTATGTAATAATAAACCAATCTGGTTTTGCAAAAGAGTAATAAGGGGAATGGGTGGCTTTTCAGACACAGTGACAGGTTTGCTTTGTGCTATAGGGATGACAAGGCACTAGATCTGTTGCATGAATACTACACCACACCGGTCTGTTTGTTATCAATTGTTCCTTCCTTCCTTAATCTCCAGCTTCTATCCAAGTGGTCTCTGGGACACATTAACACAAGCTGGCTCTTCCTTATGCTGCTTTGCAGACTGGGAAGCATGAAGTGTTGAGAAGTGCACTAGTGCCTTCCTCATAACAGCAAATAGTTCATGTCTATATCATGCCTAACCTTTACTAGACCAAAAGTGGGGGAAAGAATTTCTGAGTCTATTCCAGAAAACTGTGGTGGCCAGTCCTCAGGACTGAAGTGAAAAGCCTCCATCCTGTCTTCCTTTACACTTCCGTTAGAACATACTTCTTTTCTTGACCTAAGAACATGTATTATCTAGTAAATAAGTATAGTTAGATTTATTTTAATGATAATTTTCTTTGTGATGAATCCATCTTCCAGCTACCCTGACTCACTCTGTGTTAGAACTGTATAATTTGTAAACTCTAGGGGGCAGGGACTGTATCTTCCTCTATGTTTAAACAGTTCTGAGTGTCAGTAGTCAATACATGCAGCAATGGTAGTGGTAATAAGTATAGCACACACAAGACCTGATCATACATGAAAGGTAAACAAAAATCATCTGTTTTTTACTACTGGATTCTAAAACCCAGTTTCAATTTACTTACTGTCCATGGAAATCTTCTGTCTTTGCAGACATCTGGTATGTTAAGAGGCTCCATGGTATTCTTGACATATTGAGCATACATATAATTTATTTTGTTTGCATCATAGTCCCTGAAGGAACAACAAGGGCAGGCAGGCATTATTCATGGCATTCTTTGTATGACATCGGGTCATGCAATAATGCTAAGGAAATGTAAACTATATCATGTGTAAATCAAAGTGAAAGGTAAGTTCCTACGCACAGATCTACCACCATCTCCCACACACCACAAAATTGTGCCCTGTGCTATAGTTAAATGACTCAGACAGCCCCATTTTTGTATTCATTTAAATTAAACCAACAGAGATGAAAAGGTCCAACCATTCCATACTGTGCACAAGTAGCGAGGCCACTGACCCACTGACCCAGATGGGGAGGAATCTCTCCTTGTGCCCTGATGAGCAGAGTCTTGCCCCACCCTACCGCCCTGCCAGAAGTCAAGAGGTGGGACAGGAAATGTAAAAGGCAGAGCCAAGAGAACAGTGGAAGCCCAGCTACTGGAGGAGCCAGATGCCTACCCTGAACTCCCAAACTGGGAAGCTTCTTCAGACCTAAAAGAAGCCGAAGACTGCCAAACCCACAGACAGACCTCAACCCAGACAAGCTGCCAACCCTGAGGAAGGTTCCATTCTGCAATGACCCAGACAACTTACTACTGAGTGAGGTACACCTTGGGAGGAGGAGGGCAGCCCAGGGATAGCTGACCCTGGTGTGGCTGAGTCAGTGCCCATGAATGAGTCAATGTGTTGCGGTCAGGATCCCACTGATTCAGTGGCAAATTGGTATGCCACTGTTAGGGCTCTGTTGGGACGCAGTGGGCTGGGTGGGCCTGTGTCCCTCCCGCCCCCGCCACTCCAACCCGTGGCTGGTAGTCTCCCTTCATTTCTCTAAGCAAAATGCCTGTGCTTGTTGGCTCTCCACCAGAGCTAGGACACCCATTTGCTGCCCTGCCGTGAGCTAGGGCCTGTGCTCACTGACTATGCCCTCAGCCTGAGCATAGGCTTGAGCTCTTTAACTATTTGTTGCCCCGTCCTGAGCTAGGGCCTGGGCTCACTCATTGTTTTCTCAGCCTGAGTCTAGGCCTGAGACCCAGGAACTGGCTGCTGCCCTGCCCTGGACAGGGCTGGGCCAGGTCATACTGACTGTATTGGTGGAGTGGGCTACAGGACTGCACTTACAACACTAAGTCAGCTGGCTGATTTCCCATGTGCTAATGAGCATGGTGGGTAATGAGGCAGAGTGGCTGCCCACTGACCCAGAGCTCTGGTAGGCAGAGACCCACCTTCAACTGGACTATGGCACATCACTACATAAAACCAAGCAGTTAACAATAATCTGAGAGTAACATTAGTCTTATCTCCGATGCTTTGTATTTATTTTGTTTAATCAATTACAATGAAAAGAAGAAGGAAATGTGTGGGTGTATTTAGTTCTCCAAGCACGCAAGTGATGTCTATTAAAATCCATACAAGTTCTCTCTACATACTTGTGGTTTTGCTAAGACCTTGTCTACATGAGAAAGCTGCACCAGTATAACTCAAATTTAAAAATTAACCATTTTAGTTAAACCGGTGAAAACCTCATGAGCACACATTTCCATTTAAGTTTAAATCTGTACCTAACTCATTTAAGCTCAGCTGAAATAAGCCTGATTTCAAATGAAATATAAGCATCCACACAAGGGTTTGCACCAATTTCAGTAAATTGGTTTTAAAACTTATTTAAGATCAGCCAGTGCAATTTTCTGATGTTGATAAACCCTAAGACTTAGTTATGCCTTGTGTTAGCATCCAGAGGAAATTATATTCTTACATGTTAGGAAAGTTACAAATGTATTAAAAATGCTAAACTTAGAAAATAAATTAATGCGATCTACAAGAATGGAAGATAAAAAAATGAATGACAGATAGATATACACAGCACAGTTTTAGCCACATCAGTCCCAGAATAATATATGACATTGGCCGAATGTGTGTTCACAGAAATAGAACCCTTCAAAAATACTATGCATCTAGAAAGCTGACACATTTGAAAAATCAATAATAGATGAAATTCACATTTTTAAATGGAGAGCAGATGGCCACATTTCTGATTTTCTGCTTTTAAGTTCATGTAAAATATGCTTTTAGAATGAATGAACAATTAATTACATTGGGATTGCATTATTGACACAGAACATCTGTTTCCGCTAAAATAACTTTACAAAAATTAATTTACTTTACAAAAATCAATCATCTCTTTTTTTAATTGCTTGGTGCTATATAATTAAGGCACTTCAGCTCTTGTTCTATCCCTTTTCCTCCCATTCTGGGGGAGCACCCATCTCCTATCGATATACCTGTTCCCATCTGGCTTCTGCATTTTCTCTTTGACTTGTGAGTAGGATTCTGTTATTTTTCAGCTGTAAAAGGCACATGTCAAAACATCCATGCGCAACACTACAAACAGAAAAGAGTTCTTTTCTGTGTAACAAATTCTTTTAGGGACAAACTGCACTTCTGAAGATTGGTATGATTTTGGCTTGACTCAGCTCACAGATTATGCAATGAGTATCATAGTGTACCTCATGTAGTAATTTATTCTACCTAAGGCATGTCACAGTGCCTTTTATGTCCCCTTCAGTAGGCTGCATGGATCATACTAATGGCTAAAACTATGTTTACTACCTGCTCTACAACTGAGCATAGGTCTTCACATTTCTTATGAATGTCCTTGTGGGTAAATTCTGGAACAGAGATTTGTGCCTATCTGAACTGCATTTCTGCTTTTTTTACATCAGCACAAACCTACTGGATAGTCCAGGGGTGGGCAAAAGGGCCTCCATGGGCCGAATCCGGCCCGCTGAGTGGGTTGATCCAGCCCACATAGGCTCTACTGCTCCCCTGCCCCTAGGCCAATCAGGGCCTAGAGACCGAGGAATATGCGGCGCTTAGAGTTAACCCTGGCGGTTGACTCTAAGACCCACACGCTGGAGGGCAGGGAGCAGGAGGCTTCATGCGCCTCCCTGCCCTCTGGCCAATCAGGGCTTGGGGACGAGGGGGAAGTGTGTGAAGTCTCCTCCCTCCCTGCTCCCATCCTGCAGGAATATTTTCAGTGTAAAATCACGTCCCAAAATCTCAGGTTTTTCTCTAAGATTCCAATACCTGCCCTGCTTGACACGTAAGCTAGCAAGGCATCCCATTAAAGTGCCAAGTTGGCAATGTTCTGCCAAGGCTCTGCAATAGGAGAGTGGCATTGTATGCATGCAGGATAGGGTGATAGACAATGGTGCGATGTACTGTGGCTCACATACTGCTGCTTACTTCCAATGACCCTTCTATTGGTCACAACGGGGCAGGACAAGCAACAGGTAGCTGGGGAGAGCCAGGTATGCTCCTCTTGGTTCCCAAGCCTGCTAAATCCACAGAAAAAGGCTTAGGAAGGTACAATTCTGTGAGCCACATATAGGGGGGCTATAGGAGCCATGCATTAGAGGCCACTGAAAGTTGGCTGTGCTGGCTTATTATCAAGATCATCTCACCTGAGGAAGTGGGTTTTGCCTGCGAAAGCTCATGATACTAAATATATTTTTTGTTAGTCTCCAAGGTGCCACAGGACTACTCGTTGTTTTTAAAGTCACAGACTAACACAGCTACCTCTGTGAGACTATTAAAAATTAAGGGTAACAAGCCTTTGGGGTGTTAACTAATAGAACAGTGTAGGAAAAAGAGCACACATTGTGCAGGGGTATTTAACTTTGAAAACACTGCAAGGAGACAGCTGTCCTTAGATACAGTTGTGAGAGCAACTCCGCTGAAACCAGTGGGAATGGTACATGCATCTTTCAGTGTAAAAGCCTAGCCTACAGTAGATGATAATGCACTGCCCCATTCTGTTTATTGAAGTTATTTGTCATGAACAGTTATTAAAAGCAAAGTCTCTTTAGTCATTTCCATTTGCCTGAGATGAACAAAAATTGAGAATAAATTGTTTTACCTCTTCAGGACATCAGCTGAATCATCTAATTCCTCAAACTCCATGTGAAACACGCTAGAAAATGATTCCTACAAATACAAAAATGATTCTTATTGGATAGAAATTAGTAATAATCATAATCCTCATGAATGGTAACAATAGCAATATGGAGAAAGTCAGCTGCAATTATTTATACTGAGTCTGCCTTAAGGCAGAAAGATAAATATTTAATTGTATTTTGTACTCCTGTATCCCATGACAATTCTGGCCCAGAACAGGGAAATTTACCTTCCCTGAGTCACTGAAGTCCCTTGCATCTCTGGGGAAATATTAACCCCAAGTGAGGGAAGACATGTTTACAAATACCTCTGGAGCGAACTGTCAGCAAAGAGTCTATTTTAATATTCACCCAGCTCCGGATCAACCTCAGTTATGTTACTTTGCTTGTATGTAGTCAGTCCTGGAGCATTAATACTCCTTAAATATATTAATAGATCTCCTTATAGATTCTTATTGCTGTAGTCTCTGAGCATTTTGCAAACAGCAATGAATTTGCTGTTGCACACCCCTATGAGGCAAGGAGTTATCATTATCCCTACTGTACAGATGAGAAATTGGGGCAGAGAGGAACTGGGCAATATCCTGGGTTTCGATTTATGCTCTGCAGGGCAGTTTCTCCTCAAGTGATGCTCTAACTTATGTCAGAGCAGGTGGTCTTGGCCATGTCATTCTTCCTCTAGCCACTCCCCTTTTCTCTGCTACAGCAGCTGCAAAGCAAATAAGTGATGTTACAGCCTACCTCAGCTCTCTGTTATGGGAGGAATGTACTTACCTCAAGGGTGATCCTTTCTGGGATAATTAAGATGGCCTTAGAGACAGATTACACCAGCTGGTAGTGCAAAATGGCTGCATCAAACTACAGAATCTTATTTAGAGAGAGGTCATGCTCCTAAGAATGGACAATTACACTGAATGGATGTCATATAGAGATGAGGAGGCATGAGAATGGGAGCAGAAAATTTCATAGGGCTCAGTGATGGAAGGCTAATAAAAAGTGTGAACAGAAGATACCTGCTACTGCAAACAAAGAGTACACTGCAACCATTTCCTTTCCGTCTTCCCTCTTCTTTACAGTGGAGGCCTAATTCTCCAGTTTCTTGCACTTGTGTAGTAATTTACATTGTGCAAAGTGGGTGTAAAATGTAACCAGATCAGAATGGAAGAATAAAGTGGAGGATCTGACCCAGGGGGCCAATAAAGAATAAAACTACACTGGATACTCACAGTGCAATCTTCATCTACTATGAAAATGGTGCATCTCTGCACCTGCATGAAAGAGATTATTGTCGCAGCTATCTTCTTCAAAATTACTTCCAAAGATTGTTGCTCTTCAAAAATTAAGCTAGCAAGATCAAGAAGCACCTAGACAAAAAATGAAAGCCTTTGTGAAAATTCAAATAGCTATGAATTAAACTATAAATATAGTTGCTACTCTTGAATTTTTTTCCCAGTCTGATAAATTAAAATGTATTTATATGACCAAAGCCAAGTTTTTGCAAGGCAGCAGTCTATGTGTGATGTCATTAATGGCATCCATTGTGAATATCTTTGATGGGAGAGGCAAAGGAAACAAATAAATAACATAAACAAGGAACATCTACCGTATGACGAAAATCAAAAGTTGTAGATAACAAACACTACTACCTGCCTGTCACAATTCCCATGTTCCAGGCTAGATTAAACCTGTTGGTCATACCTGGTTACGCCTGTTTTCAAGCAGTGATGTCTCATATAGCTGAGCATTGTGAAGAACGATTCCACAAAATGCCAAATAAGCAGCAAAATCCTGAAAACAGATCATTAAACATCAAGACTTAATTAAGAGGATGTCTACAAACACCTATGCTTCTCTGTCTTATCTCCAGTATTTACTAGGGACAGAATCCTATGTGGGATGGAGGTGTAGACCTAAAATGATTTCACAACATGTGAGAGCTGACAAATTGTTATTTACACCCAGAAAAGTTCTTATTTTTTTGTTTCTAATAACACTGTTTGTCACACCCAAAATGCCCTCTGAGTGTATCTGAAAGTTTTTATTATGTTCTGTTTCCAAGCTTTCAGCTTCAATATAAATGTTTGTTTAAATCTTTTATTAAAAGTCCATCAACTCAAACTGGCTATGGTTAGAATTCAGGCACTACTGTTTTATGGACAACTTGTAAATACATAGAAAGAAAAAAAATAATTTTCAATATATGCCTTATTTGTGGAATAGGTCCCCTTTCTTCGGTCCATGTATTTAAGCAGTATACTCCCACTTAAAACTAATCACTGCAAAAACCAAAACAAATCCCTGAAATCCACTCAGCTATAGACTCTACAGGTTTGCTTTGGTATGCTGAAGATTATTTTTGTTAATTGCACACAGTTTTTTTCTTGTTTGGTCTTAATCTCTTATTGCCATCTTACTAGGAATCTCCCATCTTTTTTGTAGACAAATGATTGAGTTTCATATTTTATCCTGGTGAAACTACATTGGAATAAGAAGCAGTTTTGGGGACCCAACCCAACCCTGCCAATACAAATCTTGCCATTAAAAACTGAACACACAAAATAAGCATCTATTATCCAAGGAATTAAGTATTTTTAAAAGTGGAAATCGAATCTTGCTTAGAGAAGCCAAGAGCTGTTTCTGTTGAGGAAAGGGATTAATTCTGAGCTCCTGCAGATGTTCATTATGCATTCCACTGGAACAGGGAAGGAGTAAATTCTTACTTTGTTATTGCCAAGGCTTGAGTCAACTTCTTCGGCCTCACTTCAACCTTTCGTGGTGCACCACAGTTTGCATGTGAAGTCTGAGAGCATTCTGAAAGTGGCTGCAATGTGACAGTTTCAGAATCTATGTGCTTTCTGCACTACTGATTATGTCAGACATGACTGTAATTTATCCGGTGCTTTATTTCTTTGTACTACTAGGGTACACAGAAATTAAATTATATAGTAATTTTAAAAGTTGCTTGGCAAGCTTTAGTTTCAATGTTAAGCTGATATTGAGTGCCCATTGGGACATTCCTTTGAGATAAGGTGACTTTCAGATATTAGCTGTTAGGCCTACACCCCTTTACAATACATTCAATAAAGCATGGAAACATTTTGAGTCTTAACAGGAGAGAGAAACCAAACTGACCCAGAAATTAAAATGACTCACATGGCCATTTCTGCAGAATCTCAAAAAGAAACAATTACTGTTTCATCAAACTATTTTTTACTTATTTAAGGATTAGTTCAGTTTGTTTAATTTCAAGATTTCTAGTTGTCATAAAAGAAAAAAGCCACACACACACACCCTATCCTTTATACCTTTTCATCTTGCTCTGTGAATATCCCACCAACTCCAGATTTCTTATTGATAGCTTGAGCTACGCCAACAACCTAATACAATGAAAATAAAATAAAGAACAGTTAGGTAACCAGAAGGAATCTACCTCTGCACTGTCTTCAAAGTAATGTTTACAGAAGATTATAAACCCTGATTACAGGTACTTTTATACTCAACATTTGGCTAGTTAGAGATTTTGTCTATGGTTTTCATGTATTTATTTTTACAAATTACAGACTAATTTTTAATACTGGGTGTTGTCAACTAAAAAATCGTATTGCTGATGGAATGTTTTTATCTATTATTGTTATTGACACCTAACCTATTATAACAGAAAGACTGTAGATATTTCCCCCACCTTGCCATTCTCTTTACTTTGAGCACTTGATGACATTTTCCATACTCAGTCAGCTAGCTGGTTTCCCTTGTTTGTAGGGGGTCTTTCAGATAAGAGAGTGGGAACATCTTTTTGTTCTGTGTTTATACGGCACTTAGCACAATGGAGTCCTAGTCCATGACAGACATACAGACAGAAAAAAAGGAAGTGGGTTGTGCCCACGAAAGCTCATGATACTATCTACATTATTTTGTGTTACAGGACTATTCGCTGTTTTTAAAGTTTTTGATAGATAGATAGATTAGATAGATGTAATATTCTTAACAGATTCACATGTATTCGTCAGACACTAAGGAATTATTGAAATGTTATGGTGTTTCTAAAAGCACATTAAGTATGCACCATAACAAAGGCATGTTTCCTCTATTAACATGTGAATATTGCATTCTATCTATGTATTTATACAGCCCTTGCCACCATAGTACCTGGGCACATCACAATCAATGTATTACATCCTTGTAGCTTCTGTGGGAGGTGGGGTAGTAGGGATGTAATAGTGTAGTCGATTAACCAAAAGCTTATAGGTTAATGCTATAGACTACACGCATTCCCCCTGCCCCCCGCCACCAGTATGTTTTTTAGCAGACTGGCCAGCAGCCCAGGTCAGTTCTGGCTTGCACCAGGTCCAGAACCTACCCTCACTGCAGCTCTGCATTTAAAGTGTATTAGGAGCCTGGTGAGCAGGCAGCCCAGATCAGTCCCAGCTTGCATCCGGCCCAGGAGCTCTGAGCCCCTCCCCCCACCTCCCTCCGAAAAGGGGCTGCTGCCATCCTGTATCAGAGGCAGCAGCGCAGAGCGACAGGCACCCAGTCCACGAGGGGAGCTGTTTTTTAAACTGGCTCCCCTCACATACTAGCTCCCGCCTGGCACCCTGAGCAGGGGGCTCCTCGGGAGTGGGGCTGGAGCGCACTGGCTGCTGGCCCCACCTTCAGAGACTATAGAATAGTCAATTAACCGTTAAGAATTCATGAGGTTAATCGCCTATTCAATTAACTGATATTTAACATCACTATGGGGAAGCACTCCATTTTGAAGATGTGGAACTGAGGCACAGAATAAAGTGACAGACTTAAGGTCATAGAGAAAGTGTGACTTACCTAGGAATTGAGCCTAGGTTGCCTGAGTCCACATTTAATGCCCTTATTTATTACAGCTCTGGACAAATCCAACATCTTTCAGATGTTTTTGTTGTCTTCCCATAGACATTGGAATGAACATCAAAAGGCTCATATAAAGATCCTCGACATATTGTGTAATCTGCATATATCAAATCACTTTCCCGATAGCAAAAACCCCTTGGCTGTGTCTACACTGCACCCCTTTTCCAGAAAAGGGATGCAGATTAGACACTTTGGAATAGGCAAATCTGCGGGGGATTTAAATATCCCTCGCGGCATTTGCATTAACATGGCTGCCGCTTTTTTCCGGCTTGGGGATGAGCCGGAGAAAAGCGCCAGTCTAGACGTGATTCTCCGGAAAATAAACTTTCAAGTAGGAATAAGAGATCCTCCGGAAAAGGGTTTATTTTCTGGAGAATCATGTCTAGACTGGCGCTTTTCTCCGGCTTATCCCCAAGCCGGAAAAAAGCGGCAGCCATGTTAATGCAAATGCCGCGGGGGATATTTAAATCCCCCGCGGATTTGCCTATTCCAAAGTGTCTAATCTGCATCCCTTTTCCGGAAAAGGGGTGCAGTGTAGACACAGCCCTTGTTGCATTAACCAGAAAAATACTTTCTGCTGTAATCTGTGAAATGATTAGAGAAATCAACAGACCATAAGTATTTCCCTCTAGGACAAATGCTTATAAAAGCTTGTTTAACTTCAAGTTACTTTACATTCCTAACTGAATCTTTTTTGTATACAAAAGTGTTGTGGGAGAACTTTTGATTTCAAGTTTCCTGACATAATGTTCTCTATTGTAAGATGAAAATGTTGCTTCTTAGAATACAGAAAATAATCCTACAAGAGAGGTCAATTAAGATCTGAATTTCTCACATTCTAGGCCCTGGTCTACTCTAGGGAATTATTTAGAGATAGTTCGTAATCATTAATTAGTCCACACTACCAAACCCATTATTTCAAAATAAGAGGCTGGTTAATTTGAAGTAATAATCCTGCTTTTCATGACAAATGATGCTTATTTCAAAATAGTTATTTCAAAACAGTGGTAGTGTAGATGCTCCACTGCTGCTGTTTCAAAGTACAGTAAACTTCCCATAATACGGCCCCTTTAGGACCCAGGGGGTGCCGGATTATCGGATATGCCGGACTATCAGAAGGGGGGGCTATGAGGGATCCGGGGTGGGGTGGGGAATGCTACCCCAGACTCCCTCATAGCCCTCCCTTCTGATAGTCCGGCTCTGCCCCAGGAGCCCC